GGTGGAAACCATAGGAATACTGCGTTTTGTACCCACAAGCATCAGCAACGAAGAGTTATTCAAAAAACTAAGTTCTCCTTATGAAATAGTTGCAGTGCGCAGATTCTCTAAAAAGGAAAATGGTACTGTCAAAGTTTTTAAAACTGTAAGCCTAACTTTTCTCTCAAATGTACTTCCGGAGCATGTTTTCTTAGATTTGTTTCGCTTTAGAGTACACGAGTACAATGCACCTTTGCTGCAATGTTATAAATGCTTCAAATTTAATCATGGCGCTAAGATATGCAAATCTATTCAAATATGCTCCATATGTTCCGAAGAGCATCATTACTCACAATGTCCAGACAATACAGTTGTTAAATGTGTGAATTGTCAGGGTCCACACCTTTCAATATCAAGAGACTGTCCAATCAAAAAACAAAGAATGGAAGAAAAGAAGAACAAAGTATCTTATGCAAATGCTATATTATCTAATAAAAACAAAAATGATACTAATTTAACAACTGATTATCAAAATAAATTTCCTAAATTACCTATTACAAAAAAAACATTACCATTGAAAAAAACACTGAACTCCAATTCTGTCCCCTCAACCGTTTTGACTTCTAACAGCGCAGCGGAAAAAGATAGTTTGCAAAAATTATCAAACGAAAAGATAATTGATGAAATAATTAACAATGATTTTATTCATAAGGCTATTGTTGGCGCTTTGGTTGCCATAGGAAACGATGAGAGAGCTTTAACCAGTAATGTTATCCAAGAGATACTTATTAAAACTTTAAAAAAAGATCAATAATGGATAAAAGTCACATACGAATATCTCAATATAATGTTGAAGGATTTATTAACAAAAAACCACTCCTCATCAATTTCCTGCAGGAAAATGATGTCGACATTTGTTTATTGAACGAAACCTGGTTAACAGAACGTAGTAGGTTGTCTATTCCGAATTATGATATAATCAACAAAATCTCTGTAGGTGGCAGAGGTGGAGTTTCAATTTTAATCAAAGATTCTTTTAAGTACTCTGTTCCTTCAATTCCTTTCTATGAAGAACTTCAGTCTGTGGCTGTTACAGTATATACATGTAATGGTGATATGTCTATTTTATGTGTTTATTGTCCTCCTCGGAAACAAGGGAGGTCAAACTTCCAATGTAATAAATTGAAAAAGATTATTAACGATCTTCATAAGCCAATACTGGTCTCTGGCGATTTTAATGCGCATCACGTAGCATTTGGTTGCCTTTCGTGTAACAGACGAGGAAACGAAATTTACAATATGTTTGATGAATGTGATCTTTGCATTCTGAATTCTGGCTCTCCAACCACTGTTGGCCGCATAGGTCAAAATCCTTCAGCAATAGATGTCTCTTGTATAAGTCCTTCTTTAGCTCCATTGTGTGACTGGAGTGTACACTCAGACCCTATGGGCAGCTATCATTACCCAACAGTTATAGATATTCATATTTCAATAGTAAAATATGAAATAGGTGAACCCACTGAGCGGTTTCTTTATAACAAAGCTAACTGGGACAGTTTTTATAATGACAGTGAATCTGCATTCGCTGATATCATTATTGACCTGAATAATCCATTGAATATATACAATGACTTTTGTAATATTTTAAATATATTAAAAAACAAACATGTACCCAAGTTGAAAAAAAGCACTCGACATCTTATAAAGAAACCTGTTCCATGGTGGGATGATAGCTGTAAAGAAATTGTGATCAAATGTAAACGTGCATTAAATTATTATAGGTCTCATCCAACTTTGGAAAATTATATAGAATATAAAAAAACAGATGCCCTTAAAAAAAGACTACTTAGTGAAAAGAAAAAGAACAGCTGGTTAGAATTATGTGAATCCTTTAATAGATACACTCCAGTTAGCACTATATGGAATTACATCAGACGATTCAAAAGAGTTTCTTGTTCTAAGAAGCCAAAAAATTCAGAATGGATTCCTTCCTTTTTCAATAAATATGCACCTGTTACTCCACCTGAAAAAGAAATTAATTTAAATACTTTAAAGTCGTCTTTTACCAGTAATGGCAGTCCTAAAGCTTACTTCCTTATAGAACCTTTTTCTTGGCATGAGTTTATAACATCTTTAGAATCCAGAAAAGATACCACTCCTGGTCTTGATGATATCAGATATACCCTTATTAAAAAATTACATATAAATGCACAGAAGAAACTACTACTAATATTCAATTTACTTTGGAATCATGATATAATACCACCTTCTTGGAAAACCCAATGTGTCATCCCAATATTGAAACCTGATAAACCAATAGAGGATAGTGATTCCTATAGACCCATCTCATTATCTTCTTGCATAGGTAAGATATTTGAAAACATTATAAAACTCAGATTAGATTATTATATAGAACAAAACAATATATTACCTGCAGAACAGTTTGGTTTTCGCAAAGGTCGCAGTGCCTCTGAAAGTTTTACTTCATTGATATCAGACATAAGAACTTCATTTCTTCAACATTCTGTGACTGTCTGTGCATTTCTTGACATCAAGGGTGCATTTGATAACGTTAACCCAGCTGTTATGGTACAAGTACTGCATGATGTAGGCATTCCGGGCAAACTCTGTAAATGGGTACACAATTTCTTATATGAGAGGCTCATGTACATAAAGCACAATAATATTCTTCATGGTCCAAGATATGTATACAAAGGTACCATGCAGGGGGCCACTATCTCTCCCCTTTTGTATAATATTTATACTTGTCAACTCAAGCAATTTTTAAAGGAGGAAAATGTACATTTTCTGCAATTTGCAGATGACCTAGTTGTATATACTGTAAATAATAATGTAATTATAGCTGTAAATAAACTAAATAAGGCATTATCTGAAATATATAATTATTATTTTAATAGACTTAAACTAGAAATAAGTAGCAGTAAAAGTTCTGCTATGATTTTCTCTAAGAAATGTATTGATATACCTGTTAATAGTCACATTATATATGATAGTTGTCCTCTACCATGGGTACAAACCCACAAATTTCTTGGTATATGTTTGGATCCAAAATTAAACTTTCAAAGCCATTTTGACAAAATCATTAAGTCTGCTACACATGGGTTAAATATACTTAGATCATTAGCAGGTGTACATTGGGGAGCTGATCCAAAAATATTGTCAATGTTGTATAAAAGCCTAATAAGAAGCCACTTTGATTATAGTTCTGTAGCTTACATGAATGCAGGTACAAGTTTATTAAAAAAACTAGACATTCTTCAGAATAGGGCACTTCGAATTATAACAGGTGCAATGTGCTCTACACCTATTCATGTAATGCAAGCTGAAAGTTGCATCCCACCTCTTATACTACGTCGTTTAAAATTAGCTGAAAGATTTTGTATTAAAAATGTATCATCTAAAATGTCATTTATTGTAGGTAAACTATTGCCCCTAGAGAGATTTAAGAATATGCAAAATGTTTCTTACCATAACACAGATCTACTTAAATCTGGTAATACTCCAGAATTGGTGGCAATAGCAGTACATATACATAAGACATTTGAAAATTTATATATAAACAGTCTTTGGCCTTTGTACCAAATTCCTTATAATGCCTTGTTTAATTGTAACTTTATCTTAGAAGATGACATAATTCGAACCAATGCTGAATTAATGCAATTTTTAGAGAACAAATCCTTTTACAGAATTTACACTGATGGATCCAAGTCTAAAGATAGAGTAACATCAGCTTACTATGATGTTCAGTTAAATTTTAGTAAGTGTATATTGATTCCCAGTGATTGTAGTATATATACAGCGGAATGTAATGCTATCTATCAGGCCTTGTTATATATCTTAGGTTTAGAACATAACAATAATTTTCTTATTCTTTCTGACTCTCAGAGTGTATTAAAATCCTTTAGAAATAGTTATAGATATGATGTAAATTATTTAGTGTTATTTATTAAGCATTTATTGTATAACCTAAAAGAATCTGGCAAGAGAGTGCAATTTATGTGGGTACCTGCGCATTGTGGCATTACTGGTAACGAAAGAGTTGACGAAGCTGCACGAAGTACACCAAGTGAAGACCACTCCTTGTCTATGAAGGTTCCATTTACAGATTTTAAAGCCCTGTGTCATCATAACCTGGCATTACTGTGGAGAAAACATTGGGATGAAATTAGCAAAGAAAAAGGACAGTGGTATCAGAAGATCCAAGGAAGCCCGCCCGCCCAACCTTGGTGGAATAACAAAATGGTGCAATCTAGGAAATTCGTTACTACAATAAACAGGCTGAGATTTGGTCATGGGCAATTTCGCACTCACCTGCATAGACTGAAGATGACAGATGATCCAAAGTGTCCCCACTGCCAAGAAAATGAAGACCTACAGCACATAATTTTTGAATGTAGACGGTACGGACTACAGCGTCTAATACTTGTTGCTGAACTTGAAGCAATCGATAAGGTCGTCCCTAATACGTTGCAAGACTTACTTAACGATCTCAAGTATTTCAAGCCACTATTCAAATTCATCGTAAATACTGTAGACAAAATTTAACAAGGAAGAGAAACAGTTTACTGTGGAAGTGAAAATTATGATGTGATGTGATAAACTCAATGACATTCTGTTATACGTGACAGTTGTTTTGTTTACTTTGTTTTTGACATGTTCAACGTTTGGCTTAAAAAGGACTAGAATCCAGAGCCGTAAAACATATTAATAAAAAAAAAAAAAACAGCAATTGACAATTTGACAGCATTGACTTTGGGTTTGGGCACCTGGCGAGATAATTTCTACCTCACGTTCATTCTTAATAATAAATTTAAATTACCTGTGTATATAAATAAAGATACGAGCTATTTAATCCCCTTGGATTGAGCCCCTGCATTTGCTGTGTTTATTCACGTCGTCGCGTTCAAACAGTAGTTACTTATATCAGTTATGATAAAGTGTACCTTGCCGTGTGTTTAAATCGGAATTGTAGTTAGTTTATTGTTAATACAAGTGTGAAAATGTCTGAAAGCGGCGAAAGCGATATAGAATGGATATTTTATAAAGACAGACCAGAATGGAGAGATGTTATCCCTGTTCCTGAAAACGATGGACCTAACCCAGTTGTAGTCATTGCTCATTCTGAGAAATGTATGTATTGTTAAAAATAGTATTTTATTATATATATGGAAATCAGATGCTAACATTTTAAGTGAATGTTTAACATCAATGTTATGTCTATCAATGTATTGCATAATTTTATTTTCAGTTGAAGATGTTTATGATTATTTCCGTGCAGTACTTCAGAACAATGAGAAATCAGAGAGAGTACTTCAGCTCACCAAGGATGCTGTTGAACTAAATGCAGCAAATTATACTGTCTGGCAATATAGGTATATATAGTACAAAATTGATTTGATTTGTGCTGAAACTCTACTGAAATCTAGATTGTAATACAGAATCTTGCCAAGGAAAGCACCTGCATGTCACTTTTGTTTGGGTTAACTGAATGGCATTATAAAGGTCCATATCCAAACCTACTATAGTTCATTGTGTCACTTGGCTACTGTTCAAATCTAATGATTGAGACTTAATTACCTATATCAGTCATTGTTGTTTGTTTGAATGATAAAATTAATTAGGATTTATTGTACATATGAATATTGTTTTTGCAGAAGAGAAATACTCAAAGCTTTAGGCACTGACTTACGACCAGAACTAGACTATGTGGAATCAGTTATCAAACAAACACCAAAGAATTACCAGGTAAGGTATGGTGAACTTTTATAAATAAATATTATTTAGTCACACACAAAAGCACCTTCCGCACTAAATTGTTTTGTTTATGTGGAATGATGGGACAGACAAGTCAAGCAAATTGTTTGGTAGTGCTCAGTAGCAATCTGTACAGAGAGCTGTGTATCCGCTCGGACACCATGAAACCCGGCGTACAAACCACTTGGCCACGGAGGTTGTAGGAGGTTATTGCATGCACTCAATAAAGAATATCTACAGATTCTGTATAGAAACGAAAATGAAACAAGCCTGCACAGAGCCTGTGGGGTAGGTGCCAAAGAGTGGTTTGTAAAGAGTTTGTATAGAAACTATCAATCAAAGTACCTTAGTAAACAGTGATGGTATAGGAACAAATACTTGTGCTTATTACACAAATTAATATCTGATTGGGCACTGACCCTAAGACCTCTAGAACAGGAGGTAAGAATGCTACAATTGCATGAAATGATAAGTGACTAAGTTATTACAGTTGGTGCTAGTACTTTGTCGGTCAGATCATTAGCTGCAAGCATTCCACATCAAAGGCTATTATTATTTGGCTAATCTTCTGAAAGGTGGAATATACTTATTATCTACCTAGAAGCCATTTTCTGATTGAATATAGCTTTTTATCTATTCTTTTCTTCATATAGGTCTGTACTAATGTGAAACCCATAGTAAATGCTTTATGTATTTTTATGTTGTTATTTAACAAAAAAAAAGAACTTAGCTCTGTTACAATTACTAGGCATCTGCAGGCCAATTATGCTCGCTAATTGTGATATTGTTTTGATGTCTATTTCACATTACGTATTATGCTCTCCGAAAAATGCGATATCAAAATGACATCAACTTATGCTATGATGATGATCAACTCTATAAAATGATATCAACTTAAATGCGTATTACGTTCAACTTTTTGACTTAAAATAGTATCGCATAAACGTCAAAAATGTGATACAGGATATGATATTGATATGATCTTGATGTGACATAGGAATGTTTCATAATACCATATAAAAACAATGTCAACTTGGCATCAACATCACATTAGAATTTTATTACTGAAGCATAATTGACCCACTGGTGTTTAGTTGAGTAACTCCTGTGCTCCTTTTGTGATTACTTTATTAGTTAATGAATTATTGTTTACTGTAGGTGTGGCATCATCGTAGAGTGTTAGTAGAATGGCTGCGAGATCCCTCTCAAGAGTTGGAGTTAACTTGTGATGCATTGTTGCAAGATCCTAAAAATTATCATGCATGGCAACACAGACAATGGGCAATCAAAACTTTTGGGTGAGTGTTACACAATTAAAATAAAACTTATATCCACACTTATACCACACACTTAATACTTTACACGATAGCAAAATAACAAAGTTTACATTTTGGTCTCTAATTGTCTGGCCGTTGTGTAGTATCGTTTGCATAGCAATAAATATTACCAAGTGGAGTAATATTTATTGCTATGTTTGCGTCACCACTGGCATATTCACTGACACGATCCGCGAACTACTTCTGTACGTTAGGATAGGAATTCTTTGTTCAAGCAGAAAGTCAGACACCCAGTCACAGAACTAAGTTGCAAACCATATGCTTATGCTGTGTATGGAGAGAAGATTTTTGTGTCAAATGCCTTTGGGACTGATATCCAATGATAGCATTATTCTAAATAGGAATAAATAAGTAATAAGTACACTAGAAGTTCGCTGTCAATCACTTTAGTCTAAAGCTGTATTAACGATAATTGATTAGAGAGTGATCCTCTATGTAGCAAGACAAGTCGGGTGGTTATTAAGGTACCTCTCTTGGACTTTATGCAATGCTGAGGTGACAGGTATAGGCTGAATTGGTTGCATATTAGCTTCTTAAAGTATAGTATAGTGTCTTTTACGTCTGATTTATAAATTAATACCAACAATCTTAATATCAAGGTCTTAAGTGAATTTTCAACAACAATAATGTCACCTTGTCAGCCTATCTGTACTGTAGTAGATATACCTATCATTAAGAACAGAACTTCAAAAACATGTTACAGGTTTTATTACAGCAATGTAGATAAATAATCAATTGTTTGAACTCACTCAATGTAAGTTACAGTGGCAGTGACGAATTACTATGATATCTAAGTAATAACAGCTTTTTGTGGGTAATAAAATATTCAAATATTAGCACAAGTCTTATTACCCTTTAGCAATTTACATTATTTACAAAGTAGATTTGTTATTTTAATGAATGTATGAGGCATGATAGTATAATGGCCTGTGCAGATGAAGTGTGCAACTTTTTTCCGCGGATCTATTTTGGCGAAAAAAAAGTCCGCGGACAAAAGTCGTGAAGAAAATTTCCGCCGAGGACTTGCCACAGACTCAACGAACACGATGTGCGAAAAAGATAAGCACACGCTACGGAAGTAAATATCCTCAGATTACGTTGAATTGTAATTAATATGAATGAAGTTTAAGTTTAAGTTTTTTTTAATAGAATTCTGGGTTCATTTCTTTAATTCGGATCGAGCGCGCAACTCGGGACTAAAGTTCGCTGTGTGCGTTACTGCGCCTATTCACATGAGTTCCATTTTTTTCTTACTTACGTACTTTTGTCCTGTCCGGTCTCACGGTGTCCTCGGTTGTTCGGGGGACTTTTAGTACGCGGTACTTTTAATCCGTCGTGTGCGTTACTCGATGTAATTGCGATCTATTTTAGGCAGACAAAAAAGTCCGCGGACAAAAGTCCTTTGTCTGCGCAGATTATAAGGGGTGGTATACACTAGAACTTCTGATACTGTGAGTCATCTTCAATGAGATTTGGAAAAACCTTTGTTACAAACTATAACTAGTGAAAATGTTCTATTTTAAATAGTTGAACTTTATTAAAAGTTTCACTATACACGTACTACTGATCTCTAGAATCGAATGATCAAAGCAACTAGTGTTGCCCAAATGCAAGAACAAGACGAGACTTAGCCAGTCTTACGTCTTGGTCTTGCGCTCCCAGTCTTGGTCTTGCAGCAAGAGTCTTGCAAGTCTTGCAATTACCTATTAGACTATTGCTATTTATTAAAGTTTACTTTAGATCTTAGAAAAACGCATTTGAATGCTTTTTATATTATTTTATTAGTTTTTTAGATTTTTTTTACACGTTTCAAGTACCTACCTATATTTAAAAGTGGCTAAAAATTTATCAAACGGGTGATATTTGACCACATTTTTGCTATTTTTTCTTGTAAAAACTTAAGAAATTTAAGAAATATTTTGACTAAATGTACAATAATAGTACCTAAGTAATTAGTTTAAACCTAGATGTGCAAATTCGCATAGGATTTCATAAAAATATGTTTCGTTCGGTTTTTAAGTGTGCGTTTCTCTTAAACGGAGTCAGACTTGCACAAGAGAACGTCGAGTAACTCGCTTGTACAGGAACTCTTTTTATTTTTGATTTAATTTAATTAGTGTTGTCGTTATAGCGGCAATAGGAATACACTATCTGTGAAACATCTGCCTGCATATTGTAGTTAATGAGATACATCCACTTCCCTAAAGTTGTCACCCTTTGGGCACAGTCATCCTAAAAGACACCTCATATGTTATGTTATACATAGTAATCAAAATACACTATATCATTTCAGGCTCTACGACAAGGAAATGCAATTCGTCGAAAATCTACTCAAAGAAGACGTTCGCAACAACTCTGCTTGGAACCAACGTTACTTTATCGTCAACAATCACCTCGGATGGTCAGATTTGAATGTCCAAAGAGAAATTTGCTTTGCTATGGAGAAAATTAAATTCGTAAAGAATAACGAAAGCGCTTGGAACTATTTACGAGGCGTCCTATTGCATGACAAGCGAGGCATCAGTGGCAATGCCGTTGTCACTTCGTTTTGCGAGGAATTGTACAAGAATAAATGCCGTTCACCCCATCTGCTGTCTTTTATCATAGACATATGTGATGAAGCCATTAAAAAGGGGGAGAGTAGCTCGTTCCATGGCCCCGATAGAGCAATTGAACTTTGCCAAGCGTTATGCACAAAGTACGATAAAATTAGATGCAAATATTGGAATTATATCAGTGAGAAATTCAAAAAAGTGAAAAGGGAGCAAGAGGAACAAAAAAAGCAAGACGAAGCAGATGAAAAGTGATCATAAGTTTTCAATGTAGATAGGCTAAATAAATGTATCGGGCGGTACGTTTAAAACTTTATATTGCGTAATAATGAATTGTGTTCAATGCTATTTCGTAACGTGAAAATAATGTAAAACTGCAAAAAATAAAACACAAAACAGCAATAAATAAATGTGAATATTATTAACGATGTTTGTGTCTAGCGAAAATGATAATTATTATCAGCTGCAAAATCTATTACTACTTGGTCTTCGGATCATCTGACTGCTTAGAGTTCGATGCTTCTTCTGTAAAATGATCACGATTGATCAAAGTCCCGATATTCATATAGATATCTGAATTCAACGCTCTTGCCATCACTTCGCAATTGCAAGTCCTGTCTGGGTTCAACATACCAAGTAGACTAGACTCCTGATCTGATTCCTTCTTTTCATTCGGTTCTTTCTTAGTTTTCTCTTTGCGAGAAACAACTTTACTGCCTTTTACAGGGGCTTTATCTCTGAGTCCCAGTTTTTGTAAAACATTTGGACAGTTCTTATTGGTACATCGTTTACATTCGCAAAACGGCTGAAATTAAGCGAAGATTAAATTATTTTCAAGTCAACATAATGATCAATGTTCCGATATACAGACGTTCTCAGAAACAAAAATATTCGCGGATAAATTGATGAAATTAATTAAGAAAGACTAGAAAGTTATTAAATTAATATAAACCGTGAATTTCCGTTACAGATTTTTTTCCTCACTCCACTTTGTCACTAATTCTGCAATTACGAAACCTTAATAATTTTAATTGACATAAATTGATTAAATTCAAATAAATCTGCTTTTAGAATTTATGTACTTTAAACGGATAATAATTCCACAATATACCTATTTGTTTCTTAGGTTTTCACGCACATCACTCATTAAATAAAACAGTTTTTTTACGGGTTATATGCACTGAATTTATTTATTGACGTTTTGCACTCCTTTCAGGAATGCATCGTCGGAATAATGTTTTTTTTATTCACTTTGTCGAGCTACCTTCGAAAGACTTTTATTGAGCGTTCGGATATTTCATTCCTGAAAAGGGTCCGAAACGTCAATAAATAAATAAATTCAGTTCATATAACCCGTAAAAAACTGTTTTATTTTATTCCATAATAGTTATGTTATTTACTTTGCGCCGTTTTAGGATGTTTTTGTAAACGATATAAATCAATATTTTTGTATGGGGGTATACTTAGTTTATTGTTTATATAATGCGATTCAACTAAGAATAGGACCGACTGGGCGCCATATTTTGACGTCATAGCTGTCAATTCAAACCAAATAGGTAGAGTGAGCAAAAAAAAATCTATTTAATAAAACTTATTTACTTAGATTAAGTGAGAAAAAACATCAGATTTTTTAATAAAATTAATTTACTAAGATTGAGAGAAAAAACAACCGATTTTTAATAATATTTCTTTATTAAGACTGTGTGAGAAAAAACATTAATCAGAATCTAGCTCTTCAATTCCGCTTATCTCTGCATTACCGCTGGAGTAGTTATGAATAATCATGCAGGTCACATACGAACATGCATCCTTTAAGTAAACGAAAGTTTTAAATCGAGTTTCTGAATGCAACATAAAGTGTCATTTGTTTGACGATTTAGGTTATCAACCATTCATAGCCAAAGCTAAATAAATAAAAAAAAATCATCCAATATTAATTAACATTATTAGTTATTGTTTGTTTAAAAAGGTTTGAGTTTATTCTAGAATTAGCTGTGTGCTAAAAAAGTGTTCAGCGTTTTTTTTGCAAACTGTACTTTACAAGAGACATTTGACAGATGGAGGTCATTGGCTTTACTATTCTTATTTGAATCGCATTATAACTGTTCGCACTATTTTTATTTACACGATTTTTGTTTCTCAGGTAACTCGAAATTCACGGTAAATATTTTAAGCATTTAACCTGCTAGTAGATTTTCAAATCTAAAGAATCGTCTCTGAAACATGGACCGAGTAGATTTATTTCCAGTAGATTTTTCTTATGATTTAAACAATGAAAGTTCTTAATATAATTATATTGCCGTTGCATAAAAGTACTTTAGTTCTATTAGTTTTAGGTATCTATTCCACTACAGTTGATCGAACAACTATCTATCGACTATTTTTTAGCTTAAGAAATGACTAATACACTTGATAACTGTCAATCTAGCAAAGTCTTTCCACTAGTTTCTTTACCAAGTTCTCGCAAAAATAATCGACGCGGTGGCATAGTTAACTCAATTTCACATTATAAGCTAATGCAATCAAGATTAAACCACTGTCGCCTAATACGGTAAATTTTGCAATAAAGGCTTTCATAATTTACTTACTTTCGCACTATGTAGTGTTTTCTTAGCCCTGCTGCTATGGGCTTTCATAGTTAAAGGTTTGTTACGTTTACCTAGTCAATTTTAAAAGTAAAATAGTGCTACATTATCTGAACGTTGCTTGTATCTACATTTTGCGAACCTTATTTAATTTTTTTGTGAGTATGTAATAGAAGCATGACGTCTGCTTGGTATGATTCATGAACTAAGAGACTGGCATCAACCGTCAATGGTGAGACCATAGACATAGTATTATTATCTATGGGTGAGACAAGGCAGTTTCTGGTTTCTGTTTCCTTCTGACATGTTTTCTGTAAGAAAAGAGTACAATGAAACTACATGGCATAATTTTTAAACTTGCTAAGTGCATCATACAAAGACTTAGTGTAATAATAATGTATCAACAGACTTACCATTAATTTAATATAATTGCCAAAAAAAATATAACTAAATGCCAATGCCTGATTTTGGCACCTTTTTTTCGCTGTTACATCGACACAAACTTATTATTTTACGTAACTTAGACTATGTAGTGTTAATTTATATGACAAACCTCATCTATGCATATACCTCTAAACGCAGTCAAAACGAAGTTATGTAGGTTTTAAACATAATAATAAGTACATAGGTTCTATGAACTGTTTCATTCGGTATTTAATTTCACATAACTCCTGTTAAGAAAAAAAAACTCATCTGCTTCCAAAACTCAAGTGTTAATTTATATGACAAACCTCATCTATGCATATACCTCTAAACGCAGTCCAAACGAAGTTATGTAGGTTTTAAACATAATAATAGGTACATAGGTTCTATGAACTGTTTCATTCGGTATTTAAATTCACACAACTCATGTTAAGAAAAAAAACTCATCTGCCTCCAAAACTCATGGTTCACCTAATGAATATGATTGTAAGTTTTACTCACCCGTGAAAAGAAAAAGGGCTACCGGCAATAGATTCATTGTAGCACCCCCTATTACACAACACGAGTTCACTATTTTAAAAAAATACACTTTAATAAGCAAATTTACAATATTTCAAATCAAAGCGGGTAAATCAATTTAACGATCAAGTGAACAAATCACCATCTTACATTCAGTATTACCAGGCTTTTATTTAAATACTACTTTTACTCTGTATTTAGATTTATTTTAAAAATATCAATGATTATTTCATTATTTATAGGAACTGTAGAAATGTTTAAATACGTTTCATAGTTTACGAATCGTTCATATCGGTAATTAATCACAAATAGAAAAGGATGACATTTTCTACCAATTCTACTAAACTCAAAGATAAATTGAGCTGGCAAGACGTTAGAAAGGGACACACTCCCGTTGGGTGCTTTCTCACTAAGGACCGTTTTTACTAGCGACCGCTTATCAAGATAATAGCTATCCTATTACTACAGACATAAATCGTGCACAGTCTAGGTATTATATAAAGTCTTTGATTTTAATACATAATGGTGTCGATTCTAGCATGATTCTCTAAACCTACACTTAATTTGACAGCAGTATATCATTGTCATTCTCTATACAGAATGAAATGGAGAGACTGATGTTAAATTTAGTTTTAAGTTTAGATAATCACGCCAGAATTGGCACCATTGTCGTACGGTTAACGTAGGATTTTGCTAGGAATACCTAATTAATTTTCTATAAATAAAAGGGTTTTACCACTGTTCCTATCTTTATTAAAACAGTAACCTGACTGGTTCCTAAGCTAAAGACTTGGAAGTGCGGAACCATGAGGATCTTATATATTATCTAAGATCCACACCTTAAAAAAAGTGCTGAGGTGCCAAGGCTGTTAAAAATTTATAATCCCAAAAAATTGCATTCAAACTTCAAACTTATCATCGAAATGTACGTTATTTAAATTATTTTGGCTTGGTGATTTTGCGTATATTTCAAAAGATATATGATACAATGTTAAAATAAATAATAAATCAAAACCTACAGATCATGCCAGAAATCTAAATATTTGTAATCGTTGTTATAACTACCCATATACAGTTCATTGATCGGTCCAATATGTGGGGTACTGGGGGTACTGTATTTTCAAATATAAAATGCGATTGGGAGCCAATTGAACTTCAAATTCTGAAGATGGAACTCGCTAACGTGAAATGTAAATGCAGCACCTGTGACACGTCCAAAGAAAATTCGCTATCCAGGGATGACAGTGAGCACAATGATGCAGCAATACAAGTGGAAAGTTACAATGACCCACTCAACAGATTGATCTATGGTAACTCGGATCCCTCCAAAGCGGACACATACGAATCACGAAATCGTAGCAAAAGTGAGGCAATGAGCTTCTTCAGAAATGACATGTACTGCCCCAATTGCTATTTCATCTGGGATCTAATTCGTAGATTTACGAAAGTGTTTAAAGACGAGGAATGTGAAATCAGACCGAACATGTTTACATGTGATAAAGCTACAGAGAAAGGAGTGGAGATTAAGGACAGTGCTACGTCGATCACTCACAAGACAGAAAGCCTGTCCTCGAGTTTGTCTTTATGTGAATTCGTTTCTGAATCATCTGTAACTACGACTCGTCAGGTTAAATCAAGGATTCATAACGACAGGGTTACTTTTGTTGATGATTATGGAAATGACAATTGCTGTCGCAAAAAGGCACTGCAGTCAGCGCCTTCTGAATCGTCTATTCCTGTGGCTCCTCGGGTTAAATCAATGGTTCATAATAATAAGAACGCTTTTGTAGATAATTATGGACATGAGATTTGCTGTGCCAAGAAGGCAACGCAGCCAGCGCCTTTTCATGGGCATTGCTTTTGCTTAGATAACTTTATGGAGACGATACGACCACCATTACCAATATGAAAATGTTACCTATTTGCTTATAAACTTAATCATGTATGAAAAACACAAATAATAGCTGTAATTCAATGAAATAAAAGTTTCAGCACAATATGTTTATTTATGATTTAGCTGCGTAGTGCTTGATGAATCTTGCAGAAGGATCGGAAACTTGTACCCATTTCGGCATCCAATAGTAAGGCGTAAAGTTTTGTTGACCTGGGTAAGATTTCTCAAATACTGTGCGGTAATATTTGGACTCAGTTGTTATGGGTGTTATACCATCGAATTTGACGTTTTCATCTTTAAACCTCTCGTTTATTATTTCACCTATTATGGTAAATAGGGATTTCTTAACAGACGCCACTCCATCGCTGAAAGCTTCTTTATGTCGCCACAGTATTGAATCTGGCAGCAAACCACTCTTATCAAAACTACTTCTCAGCAAATGTTTCTCCACTCCGTTTTGCGGTTGGCGCATTTTTGCGTCTACACCTAAGTAATGATGGGTAAATTGTATATCCAAAAATGGAACACGAAGTTCCAAGCTGAAAGCACTTGTAGTCCGGTCAGCTCTCAGTCCGTCGTATAAATAAATATCTGTTAGTAAGCGTACGCTTTCTTCGTGTCCAGCAGCTGATGAAGGTGCATCTCTAAAATATATGTACCCCTGTGCTACCTCGTCGGCCCCCTCACCACTGAATATCACTGTAGTGTCGGTGTTGTTTTTAATATACTTTGATAGAAGATACATCGGCAGACTAGCACGAATTGTTGTTATATCAAAAGATTCCAAATGGTAAATGACATTGTCTAATGCATCTCTAACATCTTTCTCATCAAACTGAACTTCGTGGTGCTCAGTGCCCAGATATTCTGCAACGGTTCTGGCTGCGACTAGGTCGGGCGAATCTCCCATACCTATTGCGAACGTCTGGATTTTATAGGGAAGTTGAATCTCCTTGGCGAGTTTAACAACCAGTGCTGTTACAAGTGAAGAGTCTAGGCCACCGCTTAAAAGACAACCTATTCTTCTGTCCGCCATCAACCGTTTCTTGCACGCAGCTTCTAAAAGACGAGCAGTCTTTTCATAGGCAGTTAGTTTCTGTAGCTCCTCTTCTGGTACAAATGGCACAAATCGTGGCGCCGTTCCAGGCGTGAAATATTGTTCCGTGTAATCCAAAGTTACTTTACCGCTATCCAATATAGACCAAACTTCTAAATGTCCAGGTGTAAACTGGCCTAGTGTGGAGTTCTTGCCAGCCTTTTGCTTCAAACCGATAAGACCCTTTGCTTCGGAGCAAATTGCGAGTACATTGTTGTCCGAGTCGTGAAGTTTGAAGAGTGGTCGGACGCCGTACGGATCTCTGGCGATATAAATCTTTCTTTTTTCACCATCTAAGAGACAGAATGCGAAGACGCCATCGAGATTCTTCACAGCCTCTGCAATGCCGAATTTGTGGTAGGTATGAATGATGGCTTCTACGTCGCACTTAGTCTCATAGGGGAAATCGTGTTGCTGTTGTAAGCGCTTGCAGTTGTAAATTTCGCCGTTACAGATCAGAGTGGTGCGGGGAAAGGCATGGAGGCGCATGGGCTGCATGCCGTATAAGCTGTCTACTATAGACAACCGTTGAAAACCAAAGATTGCGAGCGGTTCCCTTGCATCTTGTTCTATTCGCCATGCGTCTGGACCACGATGGATTATGTTAGAAAAACATTTGATGCAGGTAGCGCTCAATCCACCATCCACGCCAAAAGTTGCCCAAATTCCGCACATTATTGAAACCTGGAAAAGTTAACATTAAATTTTATTATTTACAACCGGTTCATTAATTAAAAAGGGTCCTGGGTTCAAATCTCAGAAGGGGAATTTATTTGTGTGATTAGCACACATATTTGTTCACGAGTCACGGTTGTTTATATCATTATTATTTTATATACTTGTACAATTATACACGTAATAAACGTTAAGATCAAGAAATACATCCATACTATATTACAAAGGCACTCCTCCCCTATAACGATTTGCTTTTTTAATTAAATATAAAATATGATGTAAATACTTCATCAGCCAGTGTTACCCAATCTAAATTAGGTATAGTATAAGGAGAATTATTTAAAAGGCTGTTCATTCATTAAAAAATATTTTTTCTCTAATTTTGCACGGTTGATAAGCGTAGGTCGCACAATACGTAGGTATATATATATAAGTAAGTACCTAATTAATTAAAAAAACTCGCACTTTTATCGTACAGACAGGCACAGGCCCAATTATACGAAATTAAAATTTCTCCAACTGACTTTGAGCTTTATATTACACGTAATAAGTTCACAACCTATTGAGAAAACAATTGACAGTGTGTGGATTTGATGTGTGGTTGTTTGTTCTTAAATATATACAAAACTTAGTATGGTGATTCAGATATCAAAATAAGCAATAGCGGTTATCAAAGTTCGCTAAAATTTAATTTAATATGCACATTAACTTCAGACGGGAATTGAAGCCGTGTTTATAGCAATCTCACTCAGACTCTCAGAATTAGTAATTTTGATAACTTTCTTGTAGAAAGAATTTAATATGAGATTTTTTTAAATTACCTATAGCAAATTAGGTGTCCAATTCTTGGCTTACATTTGCGTAACAAATAGTGAGTAATCAATAAAATTGCATACTTTCAAGCACGCACGGTGCAACCCGGTAAATACTTACACTGCGATATTTACATTTACAAAGCTAACCTCAATATAACATCGTCGTAGCAGTACCGTTTCGTAGGACGCAGAAATACTTCCCACACACAATCCCGATATATTTTTAACAATTTAACCTAACAACACCGTGATCACAAAACAAGTAAAAATTATATTCACCTAAACATGTGTCAACTGATGAGGAAGTTATTTTAGCACGTTATGCGGTCTCTGATAAGCGACAGACCGGTCGACCGCTTTGTCATAGAGGTTACTTGCCACTGAAATGTGAATCCAATTTCATTCCAATGAAGCCGAATTATGGACGCTCGCTTTGCGACACACTCGGCTGTGGTGTCGTCAAGCAAAAAAAACTCATGAGGTGGTTATACGTTATAGTTCAACATAAGCAGATCGCGCGAGAAATCTTTTTTATGGATAGGTAAAGGTGACGATTTTTGGCTTTCTTTTTGACCTTTCGTAGTGATACAAAGTTTCTTTACTTTTTATAGTCTGACGTTCTACAGTTCTATTAAATAATACTGAGTACAATATCTAAGTATTATTGCATCATGCTAATTACAATAGAAGGATTTATAATTAATGATGAATTATTAATTTAGCATAACTCACATAAACAATAACTGTCTCAAAATAAGCAGTTTGTAATAAGGATAACGAAAATAATACATTTAGCCTGCATATATTTGGGCTAATTTAATCACACAATGAGTGCTCTTAATAGGGTTCGTAAGACTTTGGCATTCAAAAGAGGCGCGCTGCAATTTTGCAGCATAGAGCAACATACCCGACGCGCTCCTGACCGCGGCGGCCGTGTTGCTACTTGTTAAACGACATCCGGTCATCAAAGCGTTTTGTTCGGGCATTTGGATTTGACAAGACTAAGAAAGAAGACTACGTATTGTGTTAAGGCTAAGTATTTATGTATAAATAAGTGATACCTACCCTACATCTACAAGCTATAAACTTGTTAATAATATATTGTTTTAAACTTTCATGGTCACTAACATTATAGTAATATAAGTTATTTACGGGATTGTTACCATGGATTTTTTTATTAATAATAAACGTAAGGTGCAGGTGCAGATAAGTAGTTACCTATTCAACTCAAAACATATCCAATTAATATATAAATAAGTAGTGGCCCGCCCTCGCTTCGCTTCGGAGTAGAGCTGTAGTTTTTGTAGACTATAGTTTCTGTTCTCAGGCTTGTATTATACACAATGACATTCTTCTAATACCTAATTACAATAGGCACGCACCGCCCGCCAAGCCCCCCCGCCCGGTACCATCGGAACCGTTATGTCCCTGCATTTTAAATCTGTAATATCTTCGACAATATTCATTTAAATTACATGCGTCAAATTGGTCTATATCAAATGCACAATGTATTTAAGGTACTTAATTGGATAAGGATGAATGTTATATTGCTGAAAATCGCCTCGTAAATAATCTAATATTTCTCGTAAAAAGTATAGGATAAAAAATGGTTATTGTGGGTTATCCATAAGAGATAGACATATAGGTACCATCGCGGACTTTTTTGTAGACCTTTTTAAGGTGTGCAATACTGTAGTACATTATTTTGATCTATCTCGTAGGGTTCAGCCAGCGTTTGCAATGTAAGCGTAAAAAAATGTGTTTATTTATGACCTTACATTAAAAACCTCAAATATTATCAGTGTTTCTCTACTATATTATGCATGTAATTACATATAAACCTTCCTCTTAAATATAAAATCCGTTGCGTAGTTTTAATGATCTAAGCATACATAGGGACGTAGGGACAGACAGCGGGAAGCGACTTTGCTTTATACTATGTAGTTAGTGATAAACCCACATAAGACCTCTCCCTCCCGTTTATTTTTATCCCACTTCTCATTTATCTGTTCTTTATTTATTTAGGCCTGGTCTCGTTTTTTTATACTAGTAGGTATAGTTTTATAAACTTTACGTGCAATTCTGTTTTGTTATAGTATATATACATACAAACATTAATTTTGGACTTCGGAACACAAATTATTATAAGAAAATTTGTTCTTCATTGAATTGACGCTGTATTAGGAATATTAAAGTTTTGATCATGTTTTCATTTCTAAACATAAAAACTATTTTAACAAGAATGAAAACAAATCCACAAAAACTTAAGAAATATAAGGTGAGAAAGGTGTCAGTGCCATGCCAACCCAAGTAGTACCTAAATGAAAACTCGATCTATCAGACATACATGGCACCGACTCCAAATATTAATTTGACTAAAGAAACTGTATTATTTAGGTTTTTTTTGTGGTTTTGTTTCATGAGGTGGGTTTTTATTTTTGTTGAAAAGTTTTTATTTTTAACATTATAAGCCAAAGATCACCTTTTTACTAAGTATAGGTGCCTGGCCGGTAATCTAATTTTTATACTTCGTATAAAATAACCAAACCCCATATGTGTACAGTATGTAACTAATGAGTTCCGCTGTTTATCTTCAAAAGTACTCATCAGATCTTCACCCAACGAATATGGGACCATTTCGCTAAGAAACTCTTTCAAACAAAAACGAATTACGAAAATCGGTCCACTAATCTCGGAGATATGAGCGAACAACAATAGAAAAAAACAAATATAATGGCGAATTGAGACCCTCCCTCCTCCTTTTAAAAGTTGGTTTAAAAAGGATAAACCTTTTTACAGGGGGTTTAAATAAAATTTATTCGGAACTCCATGATGGCGCAGTGTTTTGGTCTGTGGATGCAATGGTGCAGCAGTGACGAACGGTATCATGCTGTTAATAATGCTGATCAAGGAATTAATGTACTTATTCGTACAAAATTATATTATATCAATACGAGGCCGTTTCTATAACAGCTACCTACTTAATGCTATGTGAGAGCAAAGAAAAAAGTTGTTTATACTATGTACAGTTAAAATTATGTACTTGTTTACACAAAAACGAAGTTATAGCCTTGCGTATGAAGTTATATTAGGTCTTTGCCTACGAAATTATAGTTTTTCATGAAATAAGTTAACGCCCCTTTTTTTATTCTATATTTTTTTTTATTATTCAAAGTAATTTCCCATGCAATCAATGCATTTTTGTCAACGTAGTGGTAGCTTATTGATGCCCTTATTGAAAAGTCTGCTGGACGGGAGGCAACAGATTCTCCAACGACATTGTGAACTGCCACTTAGTTATGAATTTTTTCCCCACTTAGAAGTTATCCAAATTCTGGAAAAAGTAGAAGTCTGTAGGGGCAAGATCTGGTGAGTACGGTGGATGACGAAGAACTTCTAACCCCAGCTCTTGTAACTTGGTGACCGTCTGCTGTGCAGTATGAGGTTGCGCGTTGTCGTGCAGGAGCAGCGGAGCCGAACGATTAACCAAAGCTGGTTCGAGATTTGCTAGCTTCTCCATCACTGTGTTCAGTTCTTCACAGTACAAATCTGCAGTAATGCTCATCCCGTTTGGTACGCAGCTGTGATTCGCCCGACCTTGTCGTAGCCAGAACCGTTGCAGAATATCTGGGCACTGAGCACCACAAAGTTCAGTTTGATGAGAAAGACGTTAGAGATGCATCAGACAATGTCATTTACCATTTAGAATCTTTTGTTATTAGGAACCAACCTTCGTTTTTTTTAAATTATGTACTCAGTTTACAGCTGGCGTAGGTATTTAAAAGGCTTCTTCCTGACTTAGCAAGACTTAAATGAAGATATAAGGTGACGTGTTACCCCGGGACACGAGAATGGAACCAAAATTTGCGCCCAGGCAATTGTAGTTGTAGCACAGGATTTCAAAGTCACTCGTAGGTGCTAAGCCTCTTACTGACTGACGGTAATATTATGGGTTAAGATTAGCTTTGCCTAAGTAAGATTTACCCAGTATAAGTATTTACCTATGCAGGGCGTCCCACGGCCATGCCACACGGAGGGAAAGTATATTAAATACTAGAGGTCGCCCGCGACTTCGTCTGCGTTAACTTCGTTTCTTGAAAATCCCTCTGGAACCTAACATTTTTTCAGGATAAAAGTAGCCTATGTGTTAATCTAGGGTGTCAGCTAACTCCACACCAAATTTTATTAAAATCCCTCCAGCTGTTTAGACGTGAAGTAGTAACAAACATACACACTCACATACTCACACACTCACAAACTTTCGCCTTTATAATATTAGTGTGCCCTCTGGAACCCAACATTTTTTCGGGATAAAAATATCCTATGTAATAATGTAATAAATAATCTAGGGTGTCAGCTAACTCCATACCAAATTTTATTAAAATCGCTCCAGCCGTTTAGACGTGAACAAGTAACAAACATACCCACTCACATACACACTCACATACTTTAGCCTTTATAATATTAGTGTGATTATAGATAGGTTATTTTACTGAAATTTTTAAAAATCGCTTGCCACAGTCGGGAATCAAACTCGTGAAATGTAAAAAAAAACACGTCGTATTTTATGATAAACGTCGAAAGGGTTAATCATAAAGAGTAATTTTCCTAAAAAACATAGCATAAATTTTGTTCAGGAATATTTCTTGTCTTTTCCGTGCTTCCAACAACTAACATTATCATTTCAAAGTATTTACTTTCAAGTTATTATACTTACTTAATAATACAAGATTTCCTTATTATAAGTACGTGAAAAAATAATAAACTGATATCTATTTAAACAAACTGTAAGGTACTTCTATACATTTCTTTGGCCGGTTGTGGCAGGTGATTTTAAAAACATATGTGAAAGCAGTTCTACTTATTATTAAAAATAAAATTAATATCTTCTTTCGGTAAAATATCCTAGCTTCAATATTTAATATACTTTCCCTCCGTGTGGCATTACCGTGGGACGCCCTGTATATCACCGTTTATCAAAGCTGTTTATTATTTCTATTCAAGAAATATGCATTCTCAGATCAGATCTCTAATGAAAACATCTTCACTTACATTTTAAGATTACCTACAGTCTTACTACTTACCGTTCCGTGACAAATATAATACTATTAATGTGCGCCCGTTGTCTGACTGCCACAACGGCCACAAGGCTCTTTCAAAATGGAAATTATGAAACACCTAAAATTTTCACAAAATTTGTGTTGGGGTCTAATCTACGGTCTTTATCACAATAAAAAAAGGAGGTATTTATACATGAAACCCGAAAAAGACACTTTTTTGTTATAACGGGTGAATTCACTCATATACTACAGAATTATATTGTGTTATTTGTATCTAATTGAACTAAATTATAGATAAATTGCTCTACTATAGTCGCGGCACTCTATGATGGCCGCTTTGACACATTGTAATAGTGACCTGAAATGTCAATCTGTTATTGAAAAAAATCTAATTTAATCAAATGCGAATCACATCAACGTATTAAACATTTTGAACTTTTGACCAATATTGCAAGAAATTCCTGATTATATAGATTGAATAAAACGAAACCATTCATATTTACACACGCTCAGGGATCCCAATTGTGAAGATCTTATTAATTTCATCTTTTTACATTTTAAATTTCGAAAAAAACAAATGCCGAGTTATGTGGGAATAAGTATAATATATAACAGTTCTTAATGATAATAACAATAGAATAAATAATTTATATCATTTACTTAACCTTTTTCAATATTTTGTTAAATGGCCGGTGTTTTTGAGTTAAAAATGACATTATATTTAATTGTTGTATACTTGAAAAGATATTTGAAACCATAATATACGTTAGACTATAATAAAAATCAATATGGTTTGATAAAAAAAATAATTCTACAATTCGCTAAAATTACTAATTCGATAAAAACGGAAAACCAAATACGCGTCTCCAGTGACAATGTAAAATATAATTATTCCTTTCAAATTTAGAAATAATTTCGAATTTAGAATATTAAACCTCATGGACGCACAAACGTCAAAACGGCAATCATAGCGTGCCGCTACTATAAGTTATTTAATATAAATGTACATACATCAAAAAAAGTTTGAGATCACTTGCAAAAGATGACATATTTTCAAAATTTAACTTAGTCAAGAGAAAAGGTTTACGTTATATCTTTTTTTATTTAAAAATACACTTTCTGGTTTCTGGAAGAGGCAGTTTTGCCAAATGTTTTCCTCTTCGTCTTCTTCGTTTTCCGGAACCTAGCCCACTATAATCTCCGTCGCTGACGTTCTCGTGAATTCAAAGGTGCTCGCCAAGACCTCTAGGTATGCTCGTAATCCAGCCTTGTGTAAGCAATTCCGAATGGTCTGAGTGCTAACTTCAAGCCGGAGGCGGCCCGTATTTCTGCTTTTAATTTAGTGGCGTTTATTGTTGGGTCGCGGGCTACCAGCAACCTGATGTAGCGCTTCTGAGCAGCTGTCAAAACAGTTGGGCGACCGCTGCGGAGTCGATATGCTAAATTACCCATACCGTGGTACCTCTGCAACGTAGTTACTACACAGGATTGGGATATTTCAACTCTGCGTGCTATTTCTCTTGTAGAATAGCCTCCTTCCCTCAAAGTTACAATTCTGGCTCGTAAAACATCTGATAATCCTCGTGGCATTTTTTAAATCACAAGTTTCCGTGAAAAAATATTTTAAATTCGATAATATTGACTAAGTCAGATTTCTGAATGAGTGTCAGCTTGGATTGCATGTCTTTTTACATGGAAAAGCAATTGAATTATTTTATTGTTTTACGTTCTAATTCTAATTTTAAAATGTAGAATCTTATCAGAAAAAGAAATTACAAAAAAGTCTTCTGTAACACAAAAAACAACATATTTTTCAAAGTGATCGCAAACTTTTTTTATGTGTGTATAAAAGGAATGCAGGTAATTCATATTACGCCAGAAGTAAAGGAAAGTGAAAATGGTGGATA